CTTTGTTGTCCTGCTTAAATTAATTTCCCTTTTATCATAAATAATCTTTAAATTCCCCACTGGGAATGAAGAGGAAGAAGATTATCTTCAGTTCATGCAAAAATAAATGAGATGCTGACCATATCAAACAACACAATCTGAACAACCCTGATAAAAGGCATCATGCACAGCAGAAAGTTTCTGCACCATACTGACAGCATTCCTTCTCTGCCAGAGCAAAGCAGCAGCTGAAACAGAAGGGGACACTTGGAGCAACAAGAAGCAACTGAAGTCATTTTCCCTTTTATACTTTTAAAAATAAAAATATGTAAGAGATCAGACTTGTTCCTCTTCTTTGTTTTAAAGGAGTCGTATGCAGGAAAGAGGTTTCCTTTGCCTGTTGCTCATCTGTCAAGTGTGAGTCACAAAAGAGGGGGTGAGTGGAAGAGAAGAGAGAAAAATGGGAAAGAGAAGAAAAAGAAAGTTGTAAAAATGACCTCAATATAAAGAATGCTTTAAAAATAAGAGTAAGAAACTTCTTCTACAGACATGCATTCAAGACCCAGATGCTCCACAATAAGCAGGAGCCTCCATGCCTGTACATTTTTATACTCTCCTCTCCGTCGGCTGGTTCTTCACTGACTCTGACACTGCTAATAGAAAACAGTGCTGTGTTATTAGGTGAGGTAAAACATCTATACTGGCAACCGCACACACAGATACATACTCTCTCTCTCACTCACACACACACACACACACACACACACACACACACACACACAAAGAGCTCAGGAACGTGGAGCTAATTAACACCCTTGCACACAAAGATTGACTGTTCAGTCTGCTCATTGTTCACTGGAACAAAGACTCCCTCTCAGGACTCTTAAAACACAGACACACACATGCATTCACACACTCACCATTAAGAGGACAGGTCCCTTGAAAGCTATCCTTGCCTCAGACAAATAAAAACCCCGTTGACCTGCGCTTTTACCCCCCAAGTGAGCCTCCCTGGCAGGGTGACAACAACACACTAGTTTCCTTTTTGTTTCCTTTGTGCAGCTGTTCAGCTCTGTTCAGTTGCCCCCTCTCTCCAGCCCTGTCAGCTAAAAACATGTGTTTCCTGCTTAAAATACGTCCAGCACCGGCCCCATGTATTTCGGAAATGTGCGCACATATCAACACATGCACACACAAAAACTCACACCAACATGGACACATCAGATATGAACATATGTGTGTCCCACACCCTTTTCAAATAAAGTCTGTAGCATTGAACATGCAGAGGCCCTGTTTGGGGTGCCATCAAACACTGCTCCTTTGACAGTCCCACAATGCAATTGGCCTGAGTTTTAGCTGTTTTTGTGGTCAGTCTTACAACACTTAATGCATATGACCACAACAAAAACATGTTTAATTTACAGGATACACATGTGGCTGCTCTTTTAGTTTTATGTCGTATGCAGTGGAGAAAACTTTTTTGGAGGTGATTAACTCTTAGAATATCTGGTCAGAGGGGGTTGTATTACTTTAATTTATATGACTTACTAGCTTTTTTAAAAAAATAGGTGTATTGCACATTTTCTGTTTCAAGATAACTAGGGCTAACTAGCTAGTTGAAAATGCAGAAATATTTGATGTGAATTTGGGTTCGCCTATAGAATCTTTGTTACAAAATGCATTTTATAAAAATTCTGAAGGTGTCAAGTATGACAGCTATTTACAGAACAATAATCCAACTAATCAGAAATATCTGTGAGGTTTACTGGTGTAACTGGCACATAACCAGTAACTCAAGACTCAAGTCAAACCATGTCACTAACCTTTCTGAGGTTATGCCCAGGGGTCAAGGGTTAACACTCAGAATCTATATAGTTTCCGAGCGCAACACAACCAATAGATAACACCAGTAACTAGTGGGTGAACTCTTTAAAGTCTCTTCTCCCATTACGTAGAGTGGGACACAACCAAACTGTGATGTGCACATATTGCTTGTTTCGCCATCGTCTGAGCTATTGATATGTTGACTGATAAAGAGATACAGCAATCGGATTATGAGCATGTCTCTCTAAAAAAGTGAGCGGGACACCAGCATCCCCCTGGGGTTAAGGCATTTGTCTGTTACACCCAATCAGTTAATTGTTGAAACATGTGCACCCACGTCTGCAGCCTGAGGAGAGTGTGGTTCCCTTAGTAGGTCAAATATGAACGGAAGAAATGAAAACATCTTTGGAGCTGCAGCAGCCAGACTGTGAGTCAGCAGCAGCTTCAGTTTCAAGATGCACCACAAGTAGAGCAAACACATGCAACAGATGATAAGGCAGACAAACACACACACACACACACACAGTTTATGCACAAAAGTAAAAATAAATGTAAATGTTTTCCGCCGTTGTTATTAATGTCCTATTAGTGTGCAATACAGTGGTTATGGTTCACTGTGCGCTTTAAAGCATCTGTGAGGATCATTTTCCTGTCTCTCTTCTATGCAACTGTCAGGATTGGTACTTAAAGCTTGAGTGCTGGACCTTCGCTGCCAAACAAATACAAACAATGCCAATTAAGCCTATCAGCGCCAGGTAGTTTTAAAATCTGGTCTCTGTGGCAACATTCACTCACTAGCGAGCCAGTCGTGATGTGGTTTATGCCAACTAGTAATGATCAGTTTACCAGAGTTGAAGAAGGGAGCAACCGTAGTGACAGCAGCAATGCAGAATAGCGGAGCCTACCGTGTATGTTATAAACAGTTGACAGTGCTGTGTAACTACTCTCACTGTCAGAAGGGGGAGACAAAAGTTTGGACCTGCAGGTTTTAATGTAATAAAAACGGGGTGGAAAACCCACGCTGGCACCCGGGGGAGAACCTGGCAAAGGAAACACCTTTACAGTGTGCAAATTTATAATCGTTTGGCACTGAAGTGAGTTTCTTAACAATATTTCTTAGATAGCTCTACATTTGTGGGATTGAATTGTAAACACTATTCACATTCTCTTGTCGCGGCATGCTCAGTTTCCAGTAGCAAAAAACGCATTTTTGAACAGGTTTGACCTGCTTGGATCCCTAAACCTGTATTCAACCTTTACAGATGTTTCAGTTTGCATGGGTTTAATATGTTTGCCGATGATGTGTTACGGCATGCAATGTCATGTCGGAAAGCTACTTAGAGGGCATTATGCATTCTTTACTTGGGGGTTTTCAGTCAAGCTTCAATAAACCAGCTGTGATCTGTCTCTGTAAAGTCCCCAAGAACAGAGGGCTGTATTGTTGCCTTACAGCTTCCCTCTGTTCTGTCTTGAAGTCCAAATCTGAATGAAACAGACTCATAAAGCTAGAAGAGACATGTAGAAAGAGAAGGTGTTGACATTAGAAATTAGTATAAACCTGGGATAATGGAGCATGAGACAGCTATGTAGAAGGAGATGAAAGGATGGAGATAGCAAGAGAGAGGGGAGAAAGGAGAAAAAGGCCAGAACCAAGAGGAGGGAGATGAAATGTAATCCCAGAGTTCAGCAGAAAAACAATGTGTAGTCCTGAGTCACCCCAGCTTCCAGGACTGCACAGACACAGACTGAGGCATTATGGGATTTATAACCAGTATCACAGCCATTAGACAAGGATACAATTAAAAACCTTAGACAGATACAAAGAGTAGAGATGTGAAAGAGGGTTTTTGTCCAGATACAAGAGAAAGCTCAGTATTGAATGATTCGCTCTTCAGGTATTCAGTGTCCCCTTCTGGCTATTGCTCCCACGGCCTGATCCACCACTATCCTCTGTCTGACCTACTCTTAACTTACAGCTTATCCTCTGAGTCACAAACATCACTGCAGCAAATGGATACAAACTTTTCTTACTCTCAACATGCAACAGTACAGAGTTATCAGTATGGAGAGCATCAGCGCTGACGGATGAAGAGAATTCCCAAAGTGCCGGCAAAAAAGCAAGCAACTCATTAGCCTGATAAGAGCCTGCATATCAGTGATCCTGTGCAGTTTTCATCCCAGAGAGGTACACAGACACACAGTATCAGAGCAGGGATGTTCCTCGATAACAAACGTACACTGAGTCCAGCAACAGAGTACAATATCGCCACATTCTTGTAACATTTGTAACACTTTGATTTTTATGTTGCAAAAAAAAATTACTGATTTTGCTTCCTGAGAAAAGTTTGGAGTGGAGGGAATGTGTCAACAGGTGGATGTGGCTGGAGAGAGGTCAATATAAAGCTGCTGAAGTCAGAATGAGAAAGTCTTTGGAAGAAAAATGAATGAGCAAACACAAGGCAATACAAAAATCACAGTTTCACATTCCTACACAGTTCACTGAAACCAGACAATTTCATATCACAATAATCATAAAACTGATTACATTATCCACATAAACTGTGTCTCCTTGAATCCACTGTTAATAACACTGAGTTTCAGGTTACTAACTTTGTAGTTGGCTACTAATGTTAATGCATATTCTCTACTATATTTCTGATTTCATTACACGTGAGATTTTTGCTACATATTTTGCTAATTAGCATTCACTAAAATGGGATATGGGTGTGTCAAGATAACTCATCATATATTCTATATTCTTCTACCATTATATTGAATATGTCCAGCCATTACTAATTGGTTAAATCCTACAGAGTACTGGTTAAACATTTCAATTACTTTTCATCAAATGTAGCATTGGCTGTTTAATCTATTTCTCCTCGACACTTCAAATAACAGCCATGCAAAAGGATTCAGAATGAATAAGTACTTAAGATGTCACATTAACAGAAAACAGACTCTGGTGCATAGTCTGTAAATCTGTACCGCGAAAGCATCTGCGTAAAACAAGTGAAAATCTCTTACCAAGGTTAAACTCTTCTGAATCGCTATCTTCTCGGTGTCTCTGCAGGAGCAGCGCGAGTGTATTCGGGATTTGTCGCTCGGACTGATATGGTCCTCCTTCTGTTCCTGTTTTTTATCGGTGTGTGAAGGGGGAGGGCTGCTATGACCTCAGCTGGCCGGGTGGATGCAGCCTTGCTGGGCGGTGCCAGTACAGACGGTCTCCAGGAGATTAACAGGGAATATGATATACTCGACTAGAAAATCTATTTCTACGGAATATCTTAAACAATCATTTCATCCAGCATGCTTCTCTTTGGCACTAGTGTGACAAAGGAAAAATAAAACCTGTATAAAGTAAGTACAAATTATTTAAAGGCCTTAATAAAATAGGTTTGTAAGGATTTTTAAAGTCAACAGTGTTTTATATAATATAAAAAAAACGTTTTTTTCTTTGGGACAAAACACATTTTGCGTGAAGCATAATGTTGATATTGTTGATTATTGTTGTTAGATAAGATACAATAAACTTTATTGATCCCACACAGGTAAAAATGTGTCAAATCAAAACAAAAACAAAATACTGTATAATGCACATGCATGGAGCCTACACCATATGCCTGCAAAAGGTGTGGGCTTATTAATTTGGAGGTTATTTACTTATAAAACTACTGGAGCTTTTAATCTGACTCTGGTAAGTGTAGACTGGCATAAAAACTGGTATACTATTGATTGAAGCAGTTAGTGATCTCTGGCAGTCTGTGGTGGGCTGTGGGTGATACTGTATCTGTGTGGTTAACCAGCTGGCACCAGGAGTCAATTGTTACAGCCACCGTCCCATAATTCAGCCTATCCCTTCCTCAATCACTTAGCCTCAAGAATAGCTCAAGAATGTTTTCTTAGTACCAACAGTGATTTTATTTGAATTGGATAATTCATGTTGATTGTTTTTACTGTCTGTAAAGTCCACATTAACTAGCTGAGAACATGGTACTCGAGGATGTAATTGGTGGGAGTTGTTAGTTTGGCGTCTATCCTCTATCTGTGTTACATTGAAGCGCACTCCCACTTCTTGATGAAGAAAATCACACATAAACGCATAAACTCACACACACACACAAACACGCACATTGGGCAATGAATGTTAAATTAAAAATGTAGTCTATCACAAATTGCTCAAGTGGAAAGTCTTCTTATTTGATTGCCCTCGTGACATTATGCAACGAATGGCATGGAAACTGCATTTGTAAATCATGTGGAAGAATAAACAGAAACTGGGCCAACCACACTTTTAAACATTTTTGTTTTCTGTCAATGTGTGGGTGAATGTTTTCATAATTTCATGGACTCAAACTCTCCAAATCCATAAACAAAGCATCTAGTGCCATAAGTGTATAATGAATGTAGGGGAGAGCGTGACATGTTGCCACACTTTTCATACTGTCTAACGTTTACCGGGCACTGTACATTACAATGATACAGATGTCATACCAAATAAAAGAAGGAAGTCCTTACATAATTTGTATTCATCACATCTTCATATCGTATCTCATTGCGGAGTTGTAGACTGTTGAATAGAGAGTGTGCACTTCTGACGATTTGCCCCATCGGCAGGTAAGTTGTCACCCTGGATTATGAAACAATAAAAATACAGCTACTTAATTGTTATTAATATATTAAATTTAAAATTCTTACCAGAAGTAAAAATAAAAACAATCATGACTAGAGAATCTGGAAAATATGTCTTTTCCATCAAGACTAAAATGCGAGCAGAGCACACAGTAGTGGCACAGCCGCTTTACTTTGAACTTTAAAATCGAACGTTCTCTGGAGTGCAGATATATCTCTGGTAATTTAATGGAATACTGCAGATAACTTGCTTTAATGTTTAAAGGGGATGTTACAATATCAGATGTTCATGTTAAATGTGGCCAACCTTCAAAAAATGTAAACATATTAAAAGGAATCCCTGTGAGCCAAAACCTCTGATTTCCCATTGCTCTGAATACTCGTTTTTTTAGTTTTTTCTACTCTTAGTTACTTATTATGTCACATGGAGCCATTTTTTCATATGTGGTCATTTGTGCACAGCCCCATCCTCCCGGCAAACACTACACTCTGTCTGTCTGTATGGATCACAATAAATAACAAATGTTTTTTCCAAATATCGTTTTATTCCCAGTCTCAATTAGATGTGCTGTGTGTTGCCATCTTGGACCATGGACTGTATTAAAAAAACAAGTCTCGGACACAAAAATGGCAAGTGACGTTGTTGGTGAATACCACTCAGCGGAAGATGACACATGCTTTCATGGAAATCATGCAAAGCTACCATCCAGGAGTCACAGAACTACATTATTGTACTGGAAATGCAGTATAACAGTGTGATGTTTAAACACACTAATGCAACAAATGTGTATTTTTATACGATGTACATCTGTATCTGACCAATCAGAGTCTTATTTAGAGTCACAGTTCTGTCTCAAATAAATTGCCTGGCCTGAGGTGCAAGCATCATGGCCCATTTGTTGTATTTCACACACTTTATCTACATACTGTCTGAAATTCTGTTGATAATTTCTAACAATCTTTCTTCCTTCAAAAACACATAGCACTTCTGCTGGAGTATCAAAAACACGTTATTGTCTCCTCTGAATTATCATTTTGAACATTCATGGTGGTGAAAAGAAATTTTGTACATTATATGTTAGTTTGTGTAAATATGTCTGGTCTGTAAATTTTTGTAATCTATCTATCTATCTATCTATCTATCTATCTATCTATCTATCTATCTATCTATCTATATGAGTATGATATTGATCTTCTCATATAACTCTCAGTAGGAAGGCAAATAAGCCTATTTGGAATAATGTCGAACTATTTCTTAGGCAGTTACTTACAATTTTGTATTAGCGGAACATTAGCCTCAGTGCGCTAGCTAGTGTAATAACTATATTAGCAAATGACAGGAAAATCTAAGTAAAAAATTAAAAAATTAACAATCACAAAAAAGTATTTGACACTCCATAAAAGGTGTATATAAAAGATGTCTATCAATATTTGGTCACAGATCTGGCAAAATGGTGGCTGTAACCGTGTCAGTCAAATTACTGTGGAACTGTGCCAGTAAACTGAAACTAACTGCTGGTTGCACAATAAAAAGACTGTATTCAAACAGATGAATGTAGTAGTAAAATGAACACGTGTGTAATAATATGTAATTGAGGACAACTAAGCCATTTCCACAGACTAGGTTCACATGACTAAATAAGCTATATACAGCAACAAAAGTCTTTCATTATGAGTTCCCTTTGTCCTTTACTTCCATGAAGCCCTCATTGTTGTGTAGCCTATCTATCCTCACCGGAAAACCCTAGGAAGCAGCATCATATCGTGTATGTGTAAACCATAAACAGGAAAGCCCTGTTTTTCTTACAAACATTTCCAATCAGATAAAATGGGTCTTACACACACCCACAGATCACGTCAAAGAAACGTCAGACATGTGTTAGCAAGTAGTTGAAGTTGGAACAGAGTGATACAAGGGTCACCAGAAGTATTCAGTCCAAGAATGAACAGGTGATAAAATGAAAAACATTACTGTTATTTTCTGGACATGCTTAAGTGCACCGTCTCCAAATACAACATCTGGCTGGATCAACACTGTCTTGGTTAAGTTAGAGAATGTTTAATATCCTACTGAAATGAAAAACGACACATCAAGCCACTTCAGATAAGAATAAGAATGTCTCGTTTGTTTTAAATGTGTGTTTTGGCACTGTTTTGGAGACTGACTTTATTGCTGCTCCATTTTATCAGGTTTTGATCTCGATGAAAATGAGATGTTTGATGATCTGATGATCTCAATCTTCATAGAAATTGATCTGATTATATCTGGCACACCACATTTAACTGGAAATAAGAACATCAGACAGAGTATCTTGACAAAAAACCTTCCTTCCTTTGTTATTATCTATTTTGATTTGATCATGATTAAACAAGCTCCACATAGAAAAAAGGAAGGTAGAAACTTTCAGAACAATAAGAGGAGAGGTGTAATTCAAGAGGGAGATTAAGTAATTAAGTAAGATGAGTTGTCAGGTCATGGGAGCTGAAAGGGGAGTGAGCCAATAAGTGTATTATGTCCATTCCTAGTGTCACTATGCTCCATAATAACACAAGTAAATACATTAATTCTGCTTTTTTAAGCTTTTACAGTATTTTATGAAAGTATAGACTATTCCCCAGATATTGTACTTTTTCATTTTCCCATTTTGTAAACTGAGAGATATAAGCTAATCCTTATAATGCCTATTGGATCCACAGAAGCACAATGAAAGGCTCTTAGGGGTCCCACAACGACAATTTAGCCACCACTGAACTATAACACAGGGATAAAACTGAAATATATCCCTGCTAACTTTTTACAAGTAGCAACGAATGTATTTATTTAGCATAACAATACTTCTGTAAGGTATCATGACTGCAATAGCTGAGGCTGTTCCTTAGTTAGAGTTTATTATTAGCACGTTAAAACTGATCTTGTATTAAAGGTGTTATACCTTGCAGTTACTAGAAATTAATGGATTCCTCCCAGCCAAAATTTTAAGTGGCCGTGGTATTTTCATTTTATGTAGGACTAAATAATAAAAACTGGATATTTTGAGTTCTTCCATGTGAGTTGTGGAAATTGAACTTCAAACTTGCAGAGTTATTTCAATGCCTTCTCGCTATAAGCACAAAATATATCCGAGATGAATTGTTAACATGTAATCACTGAAGCAGATTCATGGTCCACATGTGTGTGAATCTGGTTAAGAACATCTGTATGTATAACCACCAGCTGGAGAGCTGAGTCTAGGACTCTGCATCCTGGTGGGCGGTTCTCACCAGGTTTACAGGAAATAAGAGAGTATCAGGAAGTAGAAAGTTTTGTTGTGTCCTCAAATGTACTACTAAAGCGTTTAAAGTTTAACTTGGTTAAAAACCAGTTGCACCGTGTTCACAGATAATCATCAGGTGGTGAAGCTTGATAACGCTGCCTACGAAGTCTAAGGTAGGATTTAGTTTAAATAATACTGTAAGTTAGTTGAAGCGCATGTCTGCATGAAAATTAAATCGACGAGTACATTGAAGTACAATGTAATAACTTCAGAAAACAGGAAACGGAAGGTAATTGCTTTTCTCGTATTTGGGTGCATAATTTTGTTGTGAGCAGAAAGGTGAGATCAATATTTACAGTAGAGCATAAAGACAAAAACAGAAGCAGTCGGGTTGCTGCATGTGCTGTCACTGCAGTATTGAATAGGCCTGGTATTAGCCTGGGAGATAGCACACGTACTGTAACAATGCATATACAGATATGTGAGCGCTTTGTAAAACTAGACCTGACTACCTACTCCTCCACAGTGTGTGATGTTAAAAGCAACACTAAGCCAGTGTTTATACACAATCAGAGTTAAGTTTTGACATAACAGCCAATGAAGAGTAAAATCATCTGATTTCCCCCAGCAGACATTTTGATTTGTCATAGTAGGAACAGCACAGGTGTCCAAATAAACAGTGTGACCGGCATGCACAACACCGGGGCCCAGAAACTGAAGCAGCCAAATGGAATTAAGCCATCATTCATTTTATTATTTACACCTGTGCTTTTCATTCTGTCACATGTCAAAATGTCTACTGGGGGAAAGGCCCTTTTCTTGTTATGTATCGGCAACATACATAAATAACATGCTGATATTAACACTACAAATACTTGCTTTCACTTCACTCATTTTTATTTGTGTTTTTAGCATGGTAATGTTAGCATGCTAACATTCTCAAAGACCAGTTGAGCCTTGGTATTCAACACCTAAGGCTGAAAAAGTATCGCGTAGACTGCTGAAATCTGGGCAAAGGGTTGTCAATGTAGAGCTGAGCCTGACCAGCTGAACATGAGATGTACTAAAAAATAGATTCCCATTTTATTCATAACAACAAGGCATTATCTTAGGCCAAACTTTTTATTTTTGCCCTCTTGGTATTAATGTTTTTATGTTTTAGTTTTTCCATTTTCTATTAACCCGATATTTTTGTTTTCTGGTGAGAGCTTCACAGAGCCACTAGGAAGACTGTAGACCTAAAGTGATGCTTTTTATTGTAGTCCTGTAGTACAGGAGCAGCTGAGGACACCATGAATCGAGTCCCCCTGCAGCAGCAGCAGCAGCAGAGCTGTGGGGCCTGGGAGCTGAAGGAGCGTCTGGGCACCGGAGGCTTTGGAAATGTCACAAGATGGCAAAATAAGGTACACAACCCACACACTTTTAACACACTGATGTGTCTTTACCATCTCTGTGGGAAAATATGGTCCTATTTGTGGCTGTGATAGGACACATTAGTTAACTGAATAACTGAAAATTTTGAAAAGTTGGAGCTTTTTAAGTACTCAGATGGAAGATAAAGTTGTCAACAACATCATTATTACCATCAGTGCAATTAACATTTCAAAATGAAAACTAATAATTATCGCTCTGATCAAATCAAAATGTCAAAACAACCTTTTGCCAAGTAAACTAATATATAAAATGAAACAAATACATACAATTTCTCACAAAAGTGAATACACCCCTGATATTTTGGAAATATTTGATTATATCTTTTTATGTGACAACACTGAAGAAATGACACTTTACTACAATGTAAAGTAGAAAGTGTACAGCTTGTGTAACTGTGTAAATTTGCTGTCCCCTCAAAATAACACATCACGCAGGGTGTACTCACTTTTGTGAGATACTGAATTACAAATAAGAGACTTTCTTGTCCTATTTTTAAAAAAAAAGTAATAAGGACATGAGGGTAATAAAAATCGTGTCTGTTGTAATGAGATCACTCTTAGTCACAGGATGGGAGCATTGTAGAGCGGCATCATTAGCAAGACAACAGTACGGGAATATGAACATGTCCGCTTAGTGGACCTTCCTCTTCCTCTCTTTACAACTGTACTTCATTTGTATTACTCACACTCACTTTCAAGGCAAACTAACAGCTGGATTTGAGCTAAGCAGCATCACCATGTGAATGCAAATACACTGTACAAGTGATGGGGAGTCAGAAACTGCAGTAGAGCACATCAGAATATGATCCCTTGAAAATATTTCTGTCTCTTGCGGTTTAGAATATAAAGGATATTTACATAAACACTTGTGCTCACTTGAAACAATGTAAACATGCAACATCTGTTGACTGCTCCCTTGGTGGCTGCAAGTCTGACCATTATCATCTTTATGCTGAATGAAAATGTGTCTTTCTGAAATCTGTTTTTAAAGTTTTAGTCTCACAATATACAGTTTTTTTACATTCATTATACCTATATAATTTGGTATAATCAATCGTAGATCACCCCTGTATTGTGTGTGAAATTCATAGTCTACAAGAATACATATAAAAATTGGAGACTGTCCTTCCAACAAAACAACAATCTAGATTTTTTGTGAGGCACGTTATTACAATCCATATATACGTTTATTGTGGTAGCAACCTGTAGTGGCTGTACAACAGTAGCAAAGGAGGAAGTCGGGTGACGTATTATAAACAGAAAGTCCGCGTCCCAGACTTTGACTTAGGAGAATGGCTTTCAGGTTCCAAGTGAAACAAATTAAAATGTAAATAGTGTTACGCACTTCTGTCATGTGACTTCCATTATTGACAAACTTTAACCCAAACCACGTTTTACTAAACCTAACCAAGTACTGTAGTTTTTGTTGCCTAAACCTAACCAAACTGCGACCGTTTCACATGAGCCACGTGTTTAATGCCATGTAACGTAGTTCCCCTACGTAACGTAGTTAACGCTCATATGCATCATTTTGGGGGTCATGGACATGTTGTTGTTTCGGTTGGGGGAAAATTGTCATATAATTGAATTTTACTGCTATTTACAGTTACAAATGAAGTGATGTTCAAGAGTAAACGATGTATTGTCCAAACAGTTTAATCACAATGAAGAGCGGCTGATCATCGGTGCCATGGGCAGGACCAGGGTTTAAGAGGCAAAAGCTGAAGAGGGCTCGGCTTCCGCTGTGATTACTAAACTTCCTCTATAGGAAATGGCCTGTCTTCCTGTATGACAATACTGTGGGCTAATATTAGTTCATAAATCAGGTTATGAGAAGCAGGGAGGGTGCCTTTTCCTTGATGATGCCATGAGAAGCAGGTAGTGAGATGTACATGTGTTGCTCATCATTTGTGGTGGTTAGATGTACAGTATGTGTTGTGTATTTGTATCTGTGTCATGGTTAAAACTACATTACCTACCTTTTTGTTATCTCTCTCCATTTACCGTTAAGCAGAAATGCCTTACTATTGGTAGGTACGATCTCTCTCTCAACCCAACCTGTCGAGGCAGTTGACCGCCCACTCTCTAGGTTCTGCTCGAGGTTTCCACCAGTTAAAAGGGGGTTTTTCCGTGCAAATGTTGCCAATGCTTCCTCATTGTCTCATAATCTGTAAATAATACTACAAAGAGTTTGCCAATTTGGCCATAAATGTGATGTTACCGATATGTTGCTCTTATATGATAGAAAATTAATATCAATAGAGCTTCAACGACTTCAATTAATTGATTAGTTAATCGACAGAAAATCTATATGCAGCTGTTTTAATAATCTAATAATCTACTTTTTGTACCTGAACCTTCGACATTTCATGTCATAAATGTGTCATAAATGTATCTTGTGTTTTTGGCTTATGGTCGGACAAAAAAAGACATTTGAAGATGTCACCTTGAGGAAACTTTGACATTTTCCACTTTTTGTGATGTTTTGTTGACCAAACTATTAATACATAAATTAAGTTAAATTGGTTGGAGCCCTAAATGTAAACCAACAATGAATTCCTTACCTTTAAAATATTATTATTATTATTAAATATTAAATATTGTTGCTGCTAATTTGGCACTTCAAATTTTAAATCATAATTTCCAACGTGTATGTGTGTGTGTGTGTGTGTGCTTCCAGGACACAGAGGAACAGATCGCTATAAAGCAGTGCCGTCAGGAGCTGAGCGAGAGAAACAAAGAGAGATGGTGCCTGGAGATCCAGATCATGAAGAGGTCAGTTTCACTCTCTCTCGTATCAACTTCCTAAGACCAAAATGTGACACCCAGCAGACACGGCAGCTTCATTATATTTTCCCCAGACCCCCAGGTGGCAACCTGTGTTCTTTTTTTGTCAGTTTGCCTTTATTAGATAGATCACAGTGAAGATAAAGAAGAGAGAGGGGGATGACTTGCAACAGAGGTCCCTGTTTTATGTTGTATGGTAACCACTAGGACACCAGGACATATCCCAACTATAAACAGAAATGAAAGTGGCACTATGTACCATATAAGTATAACATTGTCTAAAATTATACTGCTATAAAATAGATTTTTGCACAGGCCATGACCCCAGGATTAGGCAATGAGGTGATGCTAAGATCAAGGTCACATTAGAGAGCCAGATTTTTATTTAAGAGAAAAGAAAAGTGCAAAAGGTACAGTATGTTTGCCTTATCTTGTCAGTCACAGTTTTACTCTTACAGAGACTGATGTCCAGAATTCCTAACTGTTTTTTGTTTGTTTGACTATGGCGTCTTGCTAAGCTTGTCTCTCTGTTCGCGTCAGATTAGGGATCTCTTTTTTCTTTAGTGATGCATCTGCTGCTTAGTGTCTTACACATTAACTCAGATGGAAAAATTGGTGATTTCCCAGTTTTGTTTTTACCGTCCAAACTCTTTTGCTTTGCCTTAAAGCTCTTCTTTGGAATGGGAGAGAGTTTGGTTCATGTTGTGATTCACCGTGGTATATTCCATGACAAGCTTTGACTTTTATGCCCATCTGTTTCACAAGTTTTCTCAAAATACAAAAACTAAAATTGTATCCTAAAATAGTAAAAATCACACAAGACATTAAATAATTAGAACAGCATCGATGTTTGGGTTATTTTGGTCTGTTGGTGGTTATTTCTGACAGGATAAAGTGCCGCCTCCTCATTTCGTTCTGCTTTGGTGTGTGTTTCATTTCCACAAACGTCTGTGTTGTCTATTAACAGTTTCAGTTTGGGTGTCGAGTTACTGTAGTTGGATGGCAGTTTGTGTAGATTTTGAATGTTTTTGAGATGCGAGTGTGTGTGTGTGTGTGTGTGTGTGTGTGTGTGTGTGTGTGTGTGTGTGTGTGTGTGTGTGTGTGTGTCGTTGTCGTTGTCGTTGTCATTTGTGGGTGCAAACATGAGCATAAAACCTGTCTTTCCTAGTCCCAGTTTAACAAGTGTGTTGTTTTCAGACAGACATGGTCACAACCACAACCCTCCCATGCACCCACGCTCAACTCGTGGAAAAACCACAGGGCAGGGGACACATGCATGGCAACCTACTATTATATTATTAAAGCTACTTAACACACATATACAGAAAAACACATCACTTTTGCAATGTTTTTGAGTTATGATGTGTTTATAGGGCCTCTGTTGCATTACTTTTTCGTCAGCTGAATGTTTAAGTGAAAACCAAGAAAACATTTTTTATTCCACAATCTCATGCAGGTTCACTCTTTCATCCCGCTCTCTCTAACTCTTTTTCTATCCACAAATGTGCTTAAGTGAGGCAGATTAAAGATGAGAGAAACATTTTCTACATCTGGTCGTATGTGTAGCGCTTATCTACCCTGCAGCAGAAAGAGTGCTGTTGTAACACAATTTAACTTCTAATCATGTTTAGGAGTGTTCACTAATTTGACCAAACACTAAAGGTTCAAAGGAACAAATCATGTTAGTGACTGATAATAACAAGTTATTTGCTTGTAATTCTAGTGAAGACTCTCATCTGTCTCCTGTTATTATAGCTGGTAATGATCACACACTGATCACATCATGTATTGCAATGTTGTGATTTCAGTGTAAGTCATCTTCCTGGTGGATCTGGTATCGGTTTGAGTTTGTGATCTTTGTGTCTCCCCTCTTCTTTTTTAAAGATGGCCTGATCCTGTGACAATCAGAAACACATTGTTTCAATCAAAGTTATGAAACCGCAAATAATGACAAACAGAGAAAGTAATGTAAAATAAGATGGAGAATAAACTCACTTGATAGTAATAATAAAAATAAAGTAAAATATAGCCACAAGTGGTAATGATCGGAGTCCGAGCAGGTTTGCAAAAAATGCAAAAATTTGACATTTCAGAACAAAAAAACTGCTCTGATGCAATGCAAGGCTATTTTGCTAACCCGAACCTTTTGTTTTATCTCAATCGCCTGTGTTAATGATGTCTCTCTCTCTTCTCTCTAAAAATGAAATCCACTTTTGCTGGTGTCAGGGGGCTTGAACATTTTTCATCTTCTAAAGAGGGCCGTGAAAGAAAAAGTTTGAGAGCCACTGATTTACACGTTGGATAAGTTCAAAGCTGTCAATTCAATTCACAAACTCCATAGCTTTGGAGTCATTATTTTTTTGTTAGTGTGAATGTTCAGGTGTAGCTTCATAAAAGTTGGTCTACAGTAGATCAGTGGTTCTCAGCCTGTGGGTAGGGTCGTCCAAGAGGTCTGAAGATAAATCTGAGGAGAATCAACAGAAGCAGAAACTGTATTTTTGTAACACAAAATCCTGCTTATTTTTCAGACTTTTCTCTAATCTTTTCTTTTTTTCTTGTGAATTACTGGATAATTGTAAATCTTCAAGACATATTCAAGTGAGACAAAGAAAAAAAATAGCTTATGGGGTGAACTTCACACACCTAACTGACATTTGCAACCAGGGTTGCCAGTAGACATTACTTGTTTGTAATGCGTCATAAGCCAAAAACATAAGCTTGACCTAGGTCTCGACCTAGATTTGTACATTTTGCTGTGTGTGCTGTGAAAATATTAGGGCTGTCCCCAACTAAGGATTTACTTAGTGGAATCAGAATTGTCAAGTCCTGCCTATAGTCGACTGATAGGTGAATCGTGTGTTTTTGTGCGCGGCGATTGCGAGCTGAGGGGGGGTTACACACGTAGCTCTGCTTTAATCTTGAGAAGCTGCAGAGCTGCAGTCGCTAATCATTATCAGAAGTTAAGCACCCCATATCGCCAAAATGGCATGATCCTTGTTTCGCTGCAAAGCTTCGACTGTGAGATTGACAGTCAAATCAGACTCCACCCATCGAAGCATCAAATCTTCGACTTTTGAGGGTCAGCCCTAGAAAATATCACACCATACAATGTGCAGCCCCACTGACGGCTGTCTCCTCAACTTTACTCACATAGGTTGGATCACGTCAACGTTGTTGCAGCCAGAGAGGTTCCTGAGGGAATGCAGAAACTGGTGACCACCAATGACCTGCCACTGCTGGCAATGGAGTACTGTCAGGGAGGGGATCTGAGAAAGGTAACAATCAGTATGTTTGCAAGAGTTTGAGAGAGGTTTGTTTTTTTGGCCCAAGAACTAGGCGATGGTTTGCACTTCTCTGGAAGAGAAATCTGGGGCAGTTTTTAATCCGAAACCATCTGAGTGTTGTTGTTGGCACCAGGCAGCCAGTAGAGCAGGAAAATGCCAACTATCATAAACCGCAGTGTCATAAAAATTTCAAAGCATCCCAGATGGTCAAGTTGGGGGGCAGATGGTGTGGTTAGTGGGGACAGGGAGCGGAAAACAGCACCATCCTCTTTTGTCAGGCCTGCCACAAGTTTCCAGCAGTAGAACTCTTTAAATATATTGTTTAAAGTAAAACTAATCAAAGGCTTTACAACAAAAGTGTTGATTTGCCAATTTGCAAAACTTAGTTTAATGTTGCTACCAGCTCTTGCTCTTAAAAATCAGATCAACAGCCTTTTAAAAAAGGTTTTATGTATTATAGAGAATCAATCGTTGTATGGAGCTGGTGTGCTGGCTGTGGGACCGCCTCGTCCTCTCTGCACATTAGCTTCACAGCAGCAATTTTAACGACTGTTTGCTAACCCACGACTTAGCTACAACTTACTGTACATTACTTGCTGTGTCGTTGTTCGCTCTGTATCATGGTATTCCTCATGGTGTTTAATTTCTCCACAATTGCACACCCCACCCCCATTGCCGGAAAATAAGACTGTGACTGTGCTTGCTTGTATGTTTTCTTCACATGGTTTATGTTATTTAAGTATCAGGTGTCTGTGTTTGTGCTCTCTGCAGTATCTGAACCTCTTGGAAAATTGCTGTGGAATGAGGGAGGGCTCCGTTTTGATTCTGTTATGTGACATTTGTAAGTATTCTGCTCGATCCCGGGCTTCAGCATGACTTTTATAATGTATAAGTGTGATTAGTTTCCTGTAGTAAGGAGAAAATGGTCATGGTGACCAGTATCATGATGTCATTTGTGACCCTAAACCACCAATTCCTTAGTCACCATTGCAACAGTTTACATTCAGAAAGGCTTACGCCAACAATCGGACACTCACGCTCTATGCCAAACATAATGTACGAATGCTCCACGCTTTATAAACTGGTGTGAGAGAGGACACACATGGGGTGGATCACGCATAGCTAGAGTGGAGGGTAGAGGATGACACACACACACACACACACACACACACACAGAGAAACACATTTTCCTGTTAATGAGTGAGGGTAAAGACATAGTCATGCACATCCACACCCAAACACACATTCACACTTTTAGGTGCTCAAAGGTTATGAGTTCCACTCTGTTGAACACGCTTTGCCAGCACACACACTAGTCACCCTTTGACATACATATAAAGAGACATTATAGTTTCAGTTGTAAACCTTTTGTACTTCAGTTCTTGCGTATTAAAGGCTTTATAAAGTAAATACAAGTCTTATCCTCTTATGGCTCTTATTAAAGAATGACTTAACACCAGGCTGCCAAGCAGTGTTTTACTGATGTCTCTGGTTGAAATCTTCAAGCCTGTTTCACCTCTGTCCATACCCAACCTGTTTTTTGTACCTGAAACCACACTTGTACATCACTGAAGCAAGGTTAGAAGATAAACCCCTGGAGGTCAGCAAGATGTTCAGAAAGGGCTTTAATTTACTTTTTTAAAAACATTTTATCACTGGTGAAAATCTTGTTTTTGCTCCACTGTGAAATCACTGTTGGTCAGGACACTACTAATCACTTCCATCAGTGACCCTGGGTTCTTCTTCCTCTTCTTTGTCCCTTCAGCTTCAGCTCTAACCTATCTCCACAAGAAGAGGATCATCCACAGAGATTTGAAACCAGAAAACATTGTGCTGCAGCAGGGACAGAAGAGAGTGAGTTAAAGACTCTGTGAAGCATCTTGTTATGACAAATACACTCAAACCACAACAAAGAGTTCATATGCAGGCTGTTTGTGTGTGGGTTATGTGGAATAAGTGCAGGAGACGCGTCTCTCACGTCAACTTGTCTACCCTCACAAGCACAACTTTGCTGCACTGAATATTAAATGTGGAAAACTCAATCCTTGAACAGATTCTTGCACTTACAAGGAACTTTTGTCTTGTTCTTACCTTCCTCTCTGGGCCTCCCTTTATTTTGTTTATTATGTAACAACCAATCACAAAATTTCATCCTCTAGCCAATAGGACCAAGGAAAATGGGAATGTTATATAAACAAGGCCAGACATTTTAAAGGGGTTATATATTCATTTTTATGCTCACTGCTGTGTTTATAGAATTTAAACCAAACAGACTTTATCTGCACTAAGTTTATAGTTTAGCATGAATGCTTGTTTTTGTCTGGCATACTAGAGAAACAGTAAATCCAACATACAGACATTGTTTTTGTTTTGGGAGTCTTTAGGATTTCAAGTTCAACATTTTGGAAAATACGCTCATTCATTCCCTTTCTAGTGGAGAGTTTGATGAGAAGACCCCACTACCGCATTTGTCTGTCAAATGCAGTATTGGGCCGGTTAGCTTATCTTAGCAGGATAGACCAGAAACAAGGAGATGGCTAGCCTGGCTCTGTTGGACCGAAACAAAATTTGCCTACCAACACCACTAAAGCTCACTAATTAACACATTATATCTTGTTTTTTTAACAAGTAAAAAAATGACAATTTGCTGTTTTATGATTATGTCCCAACTTGTTTCTTGACTCTTTCTTGAGCAGTGTAAAGGCAACCAGACACGAGAGTGGTATTGATCTTCTCATGTCAGAAAGCAAATTCCTGTACGTTAGCTGTTTGTAATTATAGGATAACACTTTGCTAATAACTCTTTTTTTCTTTCCACTTCACCTCATAGTTGATCCACAAGATTATAGATCTCGGCTATGCTAAAGAGCTGGACCAGAGCAGCCTTTGCACCTCATTTGTGGGCACACTTCAGTACTTAGTAAGTGATGAAAGCACAAGTGGACACATTTTCCACACACTCTTTGCACCTACATTTACAGTTGAACTTCATTTTCCTTCTATCTTTCAGGCTCCAGAACTCATTGAGAGACAGAAGTACACGGTCACTGTGGACTACTGGAGCTTCGGGACCTTGGTGTTTGAGTGTATCACAGGATTTCGCCCTTTCTTACCAACCTGGCAGCCTGTTCCTTGGTATTACCTCCTTTCAGAAATTCCAGTATGTGAAACTTGGCGACTTGTTCAAATGTCACCGAAGGCATCATGAAGTGAATTCATTTTTTCCTAAACTAGGTTGAGGAATATGCGTGTTAAAACTTTTCACCATTTCTCCTTGCTCAAATCTCATTTTCCCCTTTTATGCTTTTGCACCTCTGTGACTGAAGTCTAGCTTTGGAAAAATAAGCTGAACAATGATGTTTTTTTTAATGTTAAGCGATGATAACCTTAATTACAAGTAAATGTTATTGTTGCGTGACTGAATTGTTAACACAAGGAAGATATAAATAAACAGCAGTTGCCAAAGTAAAGAATTGCAGGATATGTGGGTTTTGCCCACCTCCACGTCCCTTGTGCCTCACTAATATGATAAAAGATATGAAACTCCAGGGGTCTCTGGGATACATAGAGGGAAAATACTCTCCCACTATTGCAGAAACTCAGGGTCAGATCCTGGCACGTAACTGGCTGTGCTCACAGGTCGGAATTCACTATGATCAGTGAGAGTATAGAATGGAAAACATTCATAGAAATAAAAAGTATCCAACTACAAAACTACATTTTTAGGAGGCTTTTCTGTCATTTAATCCATCCATCGTTTTTAGGCACCATAAACTGAGGCTGAAGCAGGATGATGATATTGTCGTCTATGAGGACCTCTCGGGGGAAGTCCGCTTCTCTAAACATCTGCCCCAGCCCAACAACCTCAACAGGTGATTTTGTCAGACACACACATAAACATGCTAATTTAAGACTCTTATCTCAGTCTAACGTGTTAACTGGTGTTTAACAGTTTGTTATTAGAGAAACTGGAGAGGTGGCTGCAGCTGATGTTAAAGTGGTCTCCTCAGGAGAGAGGCAAAGACAGCGAGGTTACGCCCAGCGACTGCTTCTCCCAGCTGGGTATCATACTGCAGCTCAAGGTTATTTGAGTAATTCATCAATTTATTCTTTCACTTTGTCTCATTTTCCCCCATGAAGACATGCTGTCTCTTTGTTCTTTTGTTGAAAATTACTCTTTCTTTAAATTAAAACTTATAGAGAGGTTACATCTTTAAATGTGTGGTCGAGCTGTAACTGAACGAAACGTTTCAAACTTTCTGAGGCCCACAGTGCTGCACCAGTGCTGTGTCAGTTTTGATGGAATTTGAAGGGATTGTGCACCTTTTTCGTTTACATAGGCTAACACATTTACTTTTTAAATTTTACATTTAATTGGTCCTTCTCTTTTCCCTCAGCTGGTTCATGTCCTGAACATGATGTCTGCTAAGATCCTGACGTACTCCATCTCAGACAGTGAGACAGTGGCAGACCTGCAGCTGAGAATAGAAAAAGATACCAGCATTCCTGCAGCCAATCAGGAGCTGCTGCTGGAGGCGGGGATAGCCTTGGAGCCTCATGGACTGGCCACACAGTGCGCCATAGATTACACAGTAATATCTAACATAAACACTGTTCATACAATACCTTCACAAAATAGCCCACAGCAACATGAACTAATGGACTGAGTCATTATATTATTATTATTATTATCTGCGTCTGTAGGAGATAGATGGGCGACGGACAGACTTGCCTCTGGTCTTCCTGTTTGATCGTTCTTCCTGCACTTATGAACCTCAGTTTGCTCCTCGCACCCTTCCAGAGAACATCCGCTTCGTCCGTGAGTTGACAGCACTAAGCAAACAATATTTAAAGATGTCTTCACCTGTAGTTTTCTGCAAAGATGTTTTAGCTGCTTAGCTTTCTTCTTCTCTCTGTTGATGCCAGTTGAAGCCCTAGTGTCTTAAACACCATGAAGACTTTTGCTGAAATGATTTGATTAATTGAGTTCTCAAGCAGTTATTTCCTTTTGTAGACTAACATGTATGTTTCACTCACTTCCAGTGAAAGTTTTGCTTTGGGGTTTTGTTAATTAAAGAAAAAGAAGTCTGTAGCAAACAGACTTGTGACAAGGACATGTTTTTTTTTCTAAACAAAAATCTCCAGAAATCAAAACACACTCATTTACAGGTATTACTAAAGCTGAAGAAGAACTATGACAGGTTAATATAAACTGCTAACGTTATTTTCTGCCTGAATTGAAAACCCTGTGGGAAAAGAATTCCTTTTATGACTACAAACCGTAATAAATGAAATAACAGTAAACATGGCTTGGTTTTGTCTGACTGTGTCTGTCTTTCTCATTCTTTCTTTGTCATAGAAACCGACCCTAAACGCGTTCTGCCTTACAGCCCTCTGAGGAGGACTTGCGGCCAGGCGTGGCACACCATCCGCTCCCTGAAGGAAGACTGGCAACGACTGCAGCAGGGGCAGAAAGCCGCCATGTAGGGCATACACAAAATACACAAACTCTCACACACAACATACGCATGAATTAAGTGTTTGATAAAACACATTTCTTTTCCACTTTCTATCAGCATGAGTCTGCTGAGACACAACTCTTCACTGTCTAAACAGAAGAATGAGATGGTGTCAATGCACCAGAGACTAACAGCCAAGCTGGACTTCTTCACCACCAGCCTTCACATAGACATGGACAAATACCAGGAGCAGACGGCCACTGGGATCGGTATTATGATACAAAAACATGTTTGTAGATAGCAGGAAGTTTATGCTACGGCTGCCAAAACCGCATGTAATCTGTCCTATAATCGTAATTATTTATAGATTAATTTGTTTGTCCAGTTTGCTTCATGCGGAAAGTGCACTTGAATCTCTAGAAAAGTTTTGTTTGCCACTGACTAATGACAGTCTTTTTACATTTTCTAGCTTCAGAGAAACTCCTGTGTGTGTGGAGGGAGATGGAGCAAACAGCTGCCGGCTGTGGTCAGGTAGAGTTGTGTATGTGTTTGTGTGTAAGAACTATTCACGTGTGCTTTAAAAAGACTAAAATCCATGTGTGGGTGTCTAGGCCAAGGTGAGTGAACTGGAGGAGGAGATGATGCAGCTGCAGCCAGACATAGTGGATGTGCAGAGGCAGCCGTGGAGGAGTGGAGAGGCCCTGGACACACTGTAAGTCTGAGTCAAGCCTAACTCTAAAGACTAAAACAAAACATCAAAAGCAGCTGAACTGTGATCTTGGACCCTGCTCTCTTCTCCTCTCTGTTCCTCAGTGAAGGAAAGGCCATGGAGCTGTTCCGCAAACTCAGAGAGAAACCCAGAGGTTTGGATGTCATGCATCTGTTCCACTTCTTACCTAACAGCTGTTACAGTGTTTTCATGTGAAAATAAACCTTTTACGTTCTTCTGGCTCTCCTTTTCCTTCCTCTGCTCAGATCAGAGGTGTTCAGGGGACAGTCAGGAGTTGGTGCGCCTGGTGGTTCAGGCTGTGCAGTTTTACGAGAGGAAGCTCAGAGACTTCTACACACACCTCAGGTACTCACACACAAAACACTTTATATATTTTTTATATATATTTTAACTCTGAAAACAATTCCCAGATCACATAGAACTGCTTGTTCCACAGTCTTCTAAATAATAAGGGGCGGCTCAATCCCCGGCTCCTCCAGGCTGCATGTCGAAGTATCCTTGGGCAAGATACTGAACCCCCAAACTGCGGCTGTTCCGCCAGTGTATGAATGTGTGTGAATGTTAGTTTCTTTGAGTGGTCGAAAAGACTAGAAAGGCTCTATACAAGTACAGAGCATTTAGATAAATAATAGGCCTCTATAATGCACAGTTAAGAAGTTTGCCAAGCTGTATGCCCATATTTGGGCAAAAGAATGCCTTTGGTTGTTTGCTTAACCTCAGTTAATCCCAAAAAAGGCATTGTGATGGTAAAACAGGACTTTTTACATGTCATAGCCAGAAAAGCACAGGTGTAAACAATAACAGTAATGATGGCTGCTCCCATGTTAATATTTAGACCAGTTTGTGCACTGTTATGGCTTACTGGGACACTCAAATGAAATGTAACAATCAATGGTGTTATTTGCTACACTTGTGGTTTGCTATGAGAAGTAAAAATATCTGCCTTGAAAGATGTCCACAGGTACAAAGAAACAAACTGGAGAGGGAAGTATTTGTCAATATATCTGGCATATAGACACCCACACAGTCCTGAGAAAAGTGAAAAAACTTGTGCTGGTGACTTACTAACATTTAATTGTAATATGATGGCTAAGTGCAAGGGGACAGATTTTCATCACTTTGTTAAGGGCACACTGATATTTATAATGAGGTGTAAAAAGTCACACCCTTGTATTAATGAAAGATTTCCTTTTTAAAATAAGCCATCCAGTCTGCAGTTTCTAAGTCATTAATAAATGGCTTAAGGCCTGGGTGCTCTACTTCTACAACAAAGAGGGGATCGAATAATCCATTCATGTTCACAACTTGGGAACGGTTCTTGTGTGCCTCTTTATTGAATCTCTATTTTTTGTGTTTGTCGTGCAGTAAGACAGCTGTGTGCCGTCAGCGAGTGATGGAGCTTCTGCCGAAGGTGGAGGGCGTGGTCCAGAGAATGGCTGAGAGCGAGCAAGTCCTGATGAGTCTGCAGGAGAAACGACAGAGGGAGCTGTGGAACTTGCTCAAAGTCGCCTGTGTGAGGATACACGTACTGCTACAGTTTGACTCTCCCTTCAGGGATGCCTGTTAATTCTATATAATTGTATATCATGGTAGCCACAATTAATAATAATCATAGAATAGAAGCAGGTATGCAAATGTTGACATGTTTCACTTTGGTTGAATTCACCTAATTCTCAAGCACCACTTACAGTACATTTATATTAGTTCCAACACTTTTCAATGATTCATTTCGAATATTCACTCTGCTAGTAAAAATAGTCTAGATGTCAAAAATGCAAACACCAGAAGCCCGGTCAATAACATAACAATTTGTTTCTTATCTTCCACAATAAGCAGGAGCTGTACACTGTCTTAACTAACACAGAATAAAGTGCATCATCTTGTCTTGTGTAGAGTAAAGTTCGCAGCCCAGTGAGCGGGAGTCCTGATGGACTACAAACCCCCTCTTCAGTGCCGCCTCTATTGACACCCAGAGACAGCTTACAGCAGTTGTGAGTGCACACATATCACACACTGAGGTTCAAAAGAAGTTTTCATTTCAGTGTTTAAAACTCATCTTTGGTTAATGTTGACTAATGAGACTAAAGGTAATAAACTTGATTTTACTCACACCAAATTGTCGAGAAGTTATGCACAAAGACAAATATGTTTGAATTCATAAAGGTTTTTTTGTATATATTCACATATCTAAGCTACTTAAGTCAAAGTTGTGGGAGTTTTCTACTACATACTGATATACTTTCCTACAAAGTCAAATTTAGCTTTCACAAACTCCACACCGATGTCCATTTCATTGAAAGACAGACATCATCAGCAGTTGACACAAATACATTTCCCGTACATGCAATGATAAACTACTCTGCTTGAATCACTTTGGGTGTGTCTGCAGTGACGAGTCCCTTGTGGAGGAGAGCAGGACATTTGAGAGTCGACTCCAAAGTTTGCTGCACGACACCATCCAGGAATCAGACAACAGTATGGAGGTACATGCATGCTCACGCACCAAACGATACATTTCTCCCTTGTTCTGATTCAGTGCAGCTGCCTGCCGTGGTTTATTATCATTTCAGTGTTTTTCTCTGAGTTATGTGTGACGACTGTTTAAAAGAAAAACACCACCTTTTGTGTTCCCAGATGTTGAGAGAGTGGTCGTGGCTGCGTGGAGGCCAGAATTTCTCCAGTGACCTCTCCTAATTTGGGTTTCAGATGCTTACATATGGCACCCTACTGCCTCTGAGTGGATAGGATGTGGAACTACATGAGGATGTGGTAGAAGCTGGTTTAACATGTTAAATGCACAATGTGAACTGAGTAATAGCTGCTGGCAAATATTTACTAAATGAGATTAAGGAGTAGGTAAACCTCATCAACCTAATCCGGCCTGTAAAAGACATTCATCCCATGTAAAACAGGGTTTTGGATCTCTGCCTTAAATGTAAATGTGTGTCAGATGTTATGTGTTTCTCACTGGACCATTATTTTTTTGCTGAACATTTTATTTTAATAAGACAATCATTGAATTACACAAGTGATGTTTATAATTGTGAAAATGAATTTTTTTTTTACATCCACTCACAATTATATGCAGGATGGATATAACAACAGGAACACCTGTTTAATATGGTGTGGTCCAGTATCCCTGCAATAATTACAAGTGAAGTATTAATCCCAACTACTGGAGGTAGTCTTTTCTGGATATAGATAATACAAAGTGATAAGAGATGTTACATATTGTCAAGTGTCTGCAATATCTTGTTGACTATTTGTGTAAATACCCTATGCTGTAATAAGTCATAATGAATAACTGAATGTTAGACATTTCTAAATGAATTTGAATATGAAAACAAAACAGAATTTTGTATCTTGAATACAGTATTTTACTGTACTGTATGTTTCTTTAATTCATTTCCATGTTTCTGGGAATGAGGGAACAGGTTTTCCTCTTCATTCACCTGTTTTATGTCAACCAAAATAAAATTCATAAAACACACCTATCTAGATCACAGTGTTTAACAATCTTTATTCCATTAATTCAATAAAATCAGTTTGAGGTCCGACTAACTCTGCTATACAAAGCACAGCACAGATAAAGTGAAATGTAGTGGTAAAGGTTGAAAGGGTACAGGAGACTAAACTAGACAAGACAAAGAGGTGACACAGATTTCCATCAGCCCTTTTACCAAACAGGACCTGAAAATAGACATTTAGGCATCTGAAGGTCCACAGTTTATAACTGTTACTGAGGTCAGAAAGTGGAATCAAAGTCAGTCCACTCAGTCTGAGAAGGATCAGCCGCTCTTTCTGCTTAATTCTCTCCAGCTTTTATTGCATCTGTTTACAGTCACTGTACAGAAAAACTTCCCTCCAGCCTTGATAGCATGCAAAAAAAAACACAATATACCAAAAACAAGCATCCTTTAATAATCCTATGAATGTCTAAAACCCAGAGTATATCTGAACAAACATGAGCTGACAACACAGTCAAAGTTAAGAGGTGCTTCAAATCATCAGCTACATCTGAGACACAAATGCTTTATTAAAAGTGCACTTTGTCTGTTCAAACTGGTCCTAAGTAGCACATTATTTGGAGTGTGTTGCATCAATTGCCTTGTTCTTTTGTTGTATTCTGGTAATATATGCTCAAAAGTAGGTTGTGGGACCTTTAAATAATGGTAAATTTTAAAAATAACCAACACAAATGAATGCTTGATTACTTTAAACTTACAGTACTGGAGGTCTTGGAGGCTGCATGGGGTTTCATGGTTAAGGCCAAAGAAGGTTTGTCTCTGTGTGTGTATCTGTGTGTAGGACTCAGAGGGTAGATGTGTTTACGTGTTGCTGAGTGGACCTTTTGCGGTGTTTTCACATTTGGGCTCTTTATTCTTCTCCTGTGTTGCTTTCCTGTCTTCTGGTCTGTCCTCCCGCTGAATCTGTTTTACGCCTCCAGCTCAAAACCCATGCCAACTTTGTGTCCACCGCCGTTCACGTTCTTCCCGTCAATCAGACCTGAGAGGGTGAGCTTCACTCCTGCAGGGGGAAGGGTGTCAGATTATGTATCAAGTAATCACACCTGTCCTCTTTGTATTGTTGTTTCAGAAAACAGTAAAGAGAAAAAAGGTAATCAACTAACCTGGCCTGAGGGTTTGTGTGTATCCAACTCCAACTAGGCAGGCGTTGTCAACTTTGGTCTGTGAGGACAAGCAAAACATCATCGACAGGTGAGACAATCATGAACAAAGCATTAGGAGAGTAGATAGATGGGAACTGGGATGCAGTTGCATAATTTATATTATATATATGGATACATCAGCCGCAAGTCAACAACTGCAGAAGAGTTGGATGATGGCTTTAAAAGTATGTCAGGTAGTAAGGCAGAGTGAGTGTGCGTTTAGGGAGGTTTTATGCCTCATCACCGATGAAAGGCGTGGGTTGTCCATCTGTATGTCCTTTCCCGTTAACGCGACATCGCAGGAACCCAAATTTGGCAAAAAAGTGGCATCCACTTGGACACAAGAATTTATGAATGACTAAATTATTAGATTATGACAAAACTACACACAGATGTTTAATGGGTGTGGATGGATAGATTGTGACCATATTTCACAGCTGGTTCGGACACTGGCGACTAAAGGTCATTGCGACCTCAAAATAGGTTTTTAATCATAATTTAAGAATTAATTGGGCGATTCCAGATTTCACACACATATTGACTGGGACAACACAATGAGTAAACAATAACTTCACTCTAGTTTATTAGCCACGCTAGTGTTATGGCTCTAGAAATGGCGATGTTGTCTTGTTGATCACATTTCACTTTCTCAGACGCTTCAGTTAATCACCAAATACCTGCAAAACTATTGACATTCTCAACAGCCTCTGCTTTGTGTTTAGGGCTAATTAGATTTTTTTTTAAATCATTTTAGATGTGTCTATGATGTTTTGAAGTCAGTTCTTACAGCCAGGGAAGCATCCTTATCCAGCTGGTATTTCGCTCCGATTCCAAAGCGTGTGTTGTTGCTGCCAGCTGTCCAGGCCAGATGGATCGCTGTCTCCAAGTTGCTGTTCACCTTTTGGTAAATGGAGCCACCGAACTCTGTGCCATCGTTACTGAAATACAATAGCAAAACACCGATACAAAAGGTGGAGATTAGCAGCAGTCGATATTAGTCTGAGCTTTATTTCATCGGTAGAGATTTGCTTCCTCTCTCATTGCTGTCCAATGATTTACTTCACTTCCATTTCCTGCCTCTCTTTATACTCATGCAGTGACTCACACGCTGGTGTGAAGCTGGATGTCATTGGCCTTGTATCCAAAGGCAAAGTTGTTCTGGGTCAGTTTGGATTTGGCAGTGTCAAAAGCCAACTGATAGCCAGCCAGCCAGCCCTCGTAGCCCAGCACAGCAGCTGCGTGGACGGTGGGACCGGCCATGTCGAAGTCCAGGTCGCAGCCCACATTGACAAAGTCACGCTTGTAGCCAGTCTTCAGTTTGGCACTCTTCTTGCTACAGAAGGAATAATTTATTCATGTTCATGTTTATCATATGCATCTGTATTGAATGGCTAATGTTAAAATTTACTTTTTTGCACTTGAGCAAACTAGCATGAACAGGATTGCTCTTACCCAGTGTTTGGCACAAACGACGTGTCCAGACTGAGCTTCAGGCCCTTAGCCAGCTGCAGACAGACAGACAGAAGGCACAGGCCAGGCTAGTAATAGGCTAGTAAAGCAAAATCTTATCATATATTCTTTAAGTACATAAAGCGACTAATAATTTGTTTGTTTGATTCCACCTGGTCCTCGATGGTGATTTCTGTGGTGAGAGTATTGTCTGTGTTCCACTTCTGGGTGAAGTTGAGGCCCAGCTCATTCACTTTGTACTTGTTCTCCAGGTGGCCTCCTGACTTCCCGGTGTCGGTGTTGCTGGAGCCTGAGGTGGTAAACTCCTGCAGGACAAAGAGGGATGGAGTGATGAGGGGGGGAGATGGAAAATGAGGTGGGAAGTGAAGCAGAAAGGTACATTTCCACATTAGAGCACAACCACAGAAACTAGAGGCAGAAGGGGCGTGAAAGCATACAGGGAGAAAAGAATTAGAAACATCAAAGACGAGGGAAACGAGCATTGCTTCTCTGCTTTTTTCCTCTGCCACACAATCCCTCTCAAGTTTTTTATGGCTGGTTAGTTAAAAAGAAGAACTACAGCTTTAAGATGGAGAAATTAGTTGGGAAGGAAACCTAAAAATATAGGCAGGACTGTGAGGGAGAGGTTGTTTGTGAGTGAATTTGAGTATCCGTGCTGTTGTGGCTGCAGCAGCTGGGATAATGGTGTCACTTAGACGAGCTACCGCTGCAAGGAAACACTTGGCAGAAAGCCTGGACACATCATCTGCACACAAACACATAACTGGTATCACTGGCTTACCCTGTGGTGCACCTGTGTTTAATCATTACACGTGCTAACACACTCTCTCTTACCATCTGACAGGAACATCCAAAGAAGAAAGCAGAAACAAGAGAAAAGAGAGGAAGTAAGTTAGGGCGAATCACGCAGAGTTTCAATGCGGCAAATTTATCTTCTTAATGGGAAAATGAAAAATGACGCAGCAGGAAGTTGAAACCTGTGAGTTTTCAAAATTTTCAATGAGGTTTGAGTTTGGTGGCATGTGGCTGTATGCAAGTACTCATTATGGTTTTACCATGGCAACATGTTTATGGTGACACAGGCACACAGCACGTCTGGAGCAAACTAAACACATTTTCCCCATCATGACAGAACATGTTGCTTGAAGGAGAAAAGTGTAAACTTGTCAGGCAGACAGTGTTACTCTGTTGACTCTGTAGGTTAGACTGAGTACATGTCAGGCAGCAAACACACTCTGACATGAAGGGCTGCAAGGTCATGCGTCTGGCAACTCAGAGTTCTGAGAGACAGACCTAAACATGAAACTTACATCATCAGGCTTGTAGAGACAACAATAGTACTTACAACACCATTCTGGGACTTGGTCTTAACATCCAACTTGAGAAGGCCATAGCCTGGGGAGAAAGGAAATTAGGTCAATTCAAAAGAAAAGAAAGAGTGGGAAAATAACTTGTATCCTTGTACTGCACAGCATGGGTCTAAAACAGCAAAAATAAAACAGCCTGCATTTAAAGTGACAGAGCAAACAAAATGTTTACTAATATTAGTCTTGCTTCAGCATAGCTTCACCCAAAACAGTTTTTCAGTTATATTCAGGGGAATAATACAGTTCGTATTTAAGAGAATTTGCTGAGTTACCATAGCCCTTGTTGAAGATGTCTTTGGCAGATTTCCCCAAGTCTGCGTATGCAGGAGGGACGGCCATTGTGCCTGAGGAAACAAACATGCACATTAAGATTTAACAATGTCTTCACAGCAATAAAATACATAGTTCGCTTTACCAATCTGTCTAAATGCAAAGGGATATTCCAGCAATTGAGTTATGCCAATTCATTGAGTTGAAGGACTCACAAAGGAACAGATAAAAAAAGAAACAATGATGCAGCAGAGGTCAAAATATATACTTTTTCCATGATGCAACTCTATAGCATCTTTCATTAGACCATCCCTACCTAGTAATTGCCCACATCTTTCCTACTTCTCCAGTTTAAAACACAGATTTTCTGTTAAAAAATATTAAGCCCCAACTGAGACAAAAATATATGTATGCATATATATTTTGTTTGTTTGTTTGTTTGTTTATTCAAGTGTTATCATAGTACTCCCAATGACGACTAAACTGATCTCATATAAAATCAGTGCCTGTTTAAATCAAAATAAAAGAAACAATCTTACAAACAAATTCAAGCTGAACACATGGAACTCTGCACATTTGTGGAAGCTGAGCAATGTAACTCAAAGAGCACTTCTGAGGGCATAAACATGTAAAAACCTGTTTTTCCTTACACACAAAGCATTGCAGATAGGTTTTTCTACCACATATTTACTTGCAAATAAACAGTATACATCAGTAT